CCTAACTCTAATGGCACTAAGCTGTTCTACATGCTACACTGGTTTCAACAAGCCATTACACATGCATTAACACTCACTAACCAGCATTTTCTTGATCATCAAAGAACCTAACACCTGTTATTAATCTTCATGAAACTCTCTGAAACTCTATGGAATCGATCACCTAATCAAGTCTAACAATCCTACACCAAAGATCTAACCTAACTATGCATAATTAAGGAGATATGGGAGAATCCACCAACCTGTCAAGTATCAATGGTGGAGGTATGAACAGCTCGATTTGGTACTTGAACCTGCTTCAAAATACTCCTCTAATGGAGTAGAGCTTTCTGTTTGCAAGAGTTGTGATGGATGGGGCTTGCAATGATGAATTCGAGCTTGGTATGGAGTCTTGCAAATTCAACCCTAGCTCTTCAATCCTCCATGGACAGGTCCTTGAATCAACTTGCAGGTACTCAACAATGCCAAGGAATTGTGAATGGAGGAGAAGGATGAACAGAATTAATGTGGATTGTATGAATTTACTCTTGCTTGAAATTGAAGTAACAATGGAACTCTCACTTTCTTCTCACTCTCTTCACTGAATTCTCCAACCTTTGATCACATTGTGATCCTCTCAATTTATAACCATCAATGGAAGAGCCTAGAAGCTTTTAGAAAGAGCTAGAATCTCATGGAAAGTCATGGAATTTCTCTTTTAATGACATGTGGTATCATCTCATATCATGCCTTAAGACTTGTCATTTTGTGCCAAAATCTCCTTACAAGAGATATTGAAAGGGAATGTGCAAAAAATAAGCTTATCTTTGCCTTGTGTGGAGTTTTGCAAAGGTTCCTTAATATGCAAGCATGAACTTTACAAAGTAACCTCTATTTTAAGACCTCAAATCAAAAATCTATTTGAACCATTGTTTTTAAAATGATGTTTGGATTCAAAATGACATATTGGATGACCTATTTTGGATTTGTACATCTCCCAAACCAATTTCCAACTTGGATCCATTTAAGTTATAAGACATTTTTAGGTCATTTTCAACCATTCTTGAAAATCCTTGCTACAAGCTTTTCCAACAAATCATGACCACTTTTTTAGGCTTAAAATCCCATTTTGAACAACTTTGATGTTTTGAGTTTTTCCATCTGATGCTTGGAAATAGGAGATATGGCCTTTGCTTAAAATGACCTATAACTTCCAAATGACCAAAATACCCCTGTCTTGTTCAAACCATAAGTTGAGTTCTACAAATCCTATCAAGGACTTCTAGTACTCTCTAGAAATCTAAGAAGATGCTCTTCAACATTCATGTTGACCAAGAGATCATAGGAATCATCCTACTAGGGAAAAAGTTGTCTGCAAGTTGGGTGACTTTCAAGGACCCAGATTCACACACCTCAGCAGACCTGTAATTTGTCAAAACCATAACTTGAGTTATGCACATCCTATCAAGGACTTCTACCACTCAAATTAAAGCTAGAACAAGCTCTACAACATTCATGTTGTGAGGAAGATGAGATATCAATCACATCTTGAGCTAAAACTGCCTGGAAGATGGGGATCAAATTAGGGTTTTTCCACTGGCAATCCTTAGAAACCCTAACTCAAAACTTCTCAAACTCCTCAGTCATGATGAGTTGGTCTAGGAATCATCTTTTTAGTATCTCAATACTTCATTCCATGATCACATGGCCCTTGGATTAAGACTCAACCCTCTCCAAATCTTCGGCTGACCTAGGATTGACCCAGTCAAACCCTAATTCTACCATTCATGGTTGAATCTTCTGAATTCTTGCACAATGACCTCTCTGGGCTTCATGATGGCTTTCAAGACACCTCATAGACTTTCTCAAAGCTTCAAGTTCATTCTCAAAGTCTCAGAATCATCTGAGAAGCACCCACAACTCTCAAGTTATGAGACACACAACTCTGGTTTCAACCAATTCCTCTGAGGATCTCTTGAACTTTCTAATGAAGGTATCAACTTTCAAACACTTGATGGATAAATAAATGTTGGTCAAATTTTGGGGTGCAACACATACTAGGTGCTATGTCTTGTGAATTTTATGTGTTTTTGCATGTGCAGGAGTTACCCTAGTAACGAGTTATGTCGCGCCAGGAATGCATTTCCTGCTCAGCATGATTTAGGGCCAGAAGATGCTGAATGAAATGGAAAATATCAAGAGGTACATCAGAATATGCATCTCTGTAAGAGAAAAATTACTGGGCCACAGAAGGATCGGTCGAGAGGAAGCCGCTTAGATGATTGTCACCTATTTAGAGGTTGTGGATGCCGAAGGTGATGATATGCAGGTTGAACACCATCAGACTTGTGCACTAAGGTGTTACCTCTTATTCTTGGTTGATACATGACAAGTGCCAAAATACTGCGTTTTAAGTAGAAGTTTTGCGACACTTATCGATTCATTTATATTGAATTCTTTGAATAAAATCCCACTTTGTTTGTAAAAGTGTATATTTAGTGTATAATAGTATTTTTGTGTAAATATAATTGAGTTTAATTGTTTTTATCTCATTTTTGTAGGTACTTAATCATTGATATTTAGTCATTATTAGATAGAGCATTGAATAAGCTTTCCGACGCTTCCAACCGGGCCTCAGACGGAGTTACGGTTCAAAAGTTATGAAGAAAACAAGATGCTGGATTTTTCTGTTACTGTCAGCTCTCTCCCTGAGCTTACCGAGCGAGCCAGACGCGGGACAGAAGTTTCAGAATCAGTAGAAAATGCCGCCTTTGCTCGCCGAGTGAATCGTTACTTCGCCGAGCGAATTAGTCTGGGCATAAACACCTTTAAAGAGGTAAAAACACATTTTTTTAGGTTATGTTTTGGGGTATTTGTTCCCAAACCTTCATTTTTGGTAGTTTAGAGCTTGGAAAATCATCAATGGAGGTTGCAAGTCGACGATTAGGGGTGGATAATTCTTGGATCGTGATTGAGACCGCAAGAGATTTTGATTCCTCTTCTCTCTTCCCTTTGTAGTTTTCATTTGTTGTGAGTTTGTATGTAAGTTTACCTTGATTATATGTATATTTATTGCTCATGGTGTTGTATAAAACTCATTTTACAAATTAATGTTGATGATTGCTTTCTTTATTTGGGTTTGAATTGTTGCAGACATGGACAAGTTGAATCCGGATTTAAGGCGAACATATATTAAGTTCTAGATTCTAGAGATATATTTAGGCTTAATATTCACTTGGCTTAATACTCATTCTGTGTTAGAGATAACCTATATGTGAGAGATACGTGATAATGTTGACGAGTGATTTAGGTTGCGTACAACTGGGTAGTAAGTTTAAGTATTTGATAGGGTAGATGAAATACAAACCTGAGAGTTCTCTACTCTCCAAAGAATGAATTTTTTTCTTCTTTTCATAAGTTTTATTCCCCACATTTAATTTAAAACCATTTTTAACCCAAACTCAATAACATTTAAATTGTTGAACGACAATTCAATAACACTAAAAATCTCTGTGGACACGATAATTTCCCGGATAAATACTTCCAAATTTTTTTGTTGCTTGCCCCGCTTTACCACTCTAACAATACATACATATTTGTGGGCAAAAGTACAACCTCGATATGGTCTACTTGTACTCGAAGCTGGGTGAGCGTTGTCTTTGAAAGACAAAGCAAATGACAAGGAGCTGCACATTGCTTATGGTAATTTATTGTCACTACTATTTTCATAACTCATTTGTTACACTTATTATTAATATTGTATCTGAACCATTTTTAGGGATGAATTATCTCCCACTTCCATCGCATCGTCAAGTGGGAAGTTGTGCCTACATACATTGAGGATTGGGCGTCTGCTACCGCATTTCTTCCGTACTTGAGGAATAATGCGATTGAGCCATTCATATTGCATATTGATCGTCTCGTAACAAATGACATTACCTTATTTTGCCCATACACGGGCCACCATGAGACGCGTCCATTTGACGTTATTTCCTTATACTCTAGATGAATGACATGCAGATCATCTCTTATGTATCCTTATCAGCCCGAGCGAGTGATGTCCCAGCTAACCAGAAGGTACTTAAGGCTAGGGATGATTGCACCTAGAACGTGTTGGCAGTCTATCGACGTGTTGTGGAGATGGGTATAGAAGACATAGAGGCAACACTTTTTGTGGAAGATAGTCATCCATTGACCCTCATGGAAAGCATGATTGCTGAGTTACGAAGTGTCGTGCAGTACATGCAAAGGAGGATAAGGCAGGAGATTAAACATACTCGATAATTTATGTTTAAATGTATTATTCTTTTGTATTTTCCGATAAATGTTATGTATGATATTGATTTTTTGAATTAATGTATGAATTTTTACTTTTATTTAACTTTAGTATAAAATTGATTTTACTTAGATTTAATTTTAATATAACTTGCCATAAAAAAATTACAATATTAGGACAATGGTGCTGTTCAGAAAAGACCCAAGGATTTTCGGAGATACGTTTCCAAAATAATTCTCCTTTGTGATTAACACACTTTCAATACCTTTTAAAGGATTTCAAGGGATATTTCAAAAATGTATCTTTGAACTCACCAAAATAATATAGAAAGATGTATCTCTAGACTCACCAAAATAACATACAAATATGTATCTTCGAACTATATTTTATTTAAAATGGAATGAATCGTAGAAAAGCAAACTCTGATATGATTTTAAGTGCGCAAGGATACATCGTCAAACTTATGAATGATATTTTTCCGATTTTTAGAGGTGTGAAATGTACATCTAAGAATATAATAAACATATCTCAAAGACAAAAGAGGAAGTTTGATTTCAATTTATTTTGTTCATTTTCATTTTGGGCCAAAGTTAACGGGCCAAACCAAACCCACAAACATTTCCCACAACCTAAGTAAAACCTCACTCATCATCCACTTTCCTTCCTTTTCGGCCAAAATAAAAAAAAAAGAAAAGAAAATCCTCTTTCCTTCTCAACTTCAGAAAGAGAGAGAGAGAAACGAAATATGGCAACAACAGAACCACTCGTCGAAGGCTCCACGGCAGAGGAAGTGGCGGCGGTGCCAGGTCCTGCACCGGAGGTAGGGTTAAAGCACAAACTTGAAAGAAGATGGACTTTCTGGTTCGATAACCAATCCAAACCTAAACAAGGCGCTGCCTGGGGAACCACTCTTCGCAAAGTTTACACCTTCGATACCGTTGAAGAGTTCTGGTGGTACGTGTTTTTCGAAATTCCCTTAAATTCATTGCGTTTTCATTGAATTTAAGCTCGTAATCTGAAATATTCGATTTCAATTTGATGTAAAAAATGTAATTTTTTTTATAGATCTTAGGAGTGAAAACCTAGACATGTATGTTACATATTATTTTATGTAATTATTGTTATTATTATTTGAAGATTTGGGTTTTGGTAAATGCTGATAGAAATTTGATGAAATTGTTTGTGATGTGGAAATGTTGTAGTTTGCATGATCAGATATTCAAGCCTAGCAAGTTGCCTGGCAATGCTGATTTTCACTTGTTCAAGGACGGGGTTGAACCAAAGTGGGAAGATCCGGAGTGTGCTAGTGGAGGGAAGTGGACTCTTACTAGCAAAGGGAAGGGCAATCTTGATACGATGTGGCTCGAAACTGTAATTTGTTTAATATTGTAGATCTGTTTTTGTGTTTAAAGGATGTATATTGGATGATTTGGTATTTATGATTGTTGTGTTGTGGCTAATTATGGTGATTTTATTGGATAGTTGATGGCTTTGATTGGGGAGCAATTTGGAGATTCCGAGGATATTTGTGGTGTGGTTGCGAGTGTACGCCAGTGGCAGGATAAACTTTCGTTGTGGACAAAAACGGCAGCAAATGAGTCTGTCCAGGTTTGATTGCGATTCTTATATATGATAAATGTTGCTTGCAAATTTATATGCTATTGTATTTGGTGTTGTTATAACTAGACAACAAAAGCCTTCTTTCAGTTTAACTAAGAGTGGTCTGGATATCAATGTGAGAGAAGTATCAATGGTGAATGTTGAGGGAAGTATCATTGGTGATTGTTGTTATTTTTTGACTTAGAGTAGGTTTGGATAAACAGTTTAACTAAGAATTTATTCAATAAGTTATTCTAGGGTGCCTAATTAAGGTTTATTCAGAAACACTTTTCTGTTAAATTTATTGAAATGTGAGCTGAAAACAATTTATGAACATGTTATTAAGTTGTTTTTAATATCTATGAATACACTAATGTAACCGTTTATGTCATAAATAATCTCAAATAAGCTCTTTGAAGTGGCCTCTTAGAGCATGTTAGTAACTGTTTCATCTTGAATGTGTGAATGTATCATATAAGTTTTAATATCTATGCTGTTGTATTTTGTGTTATCGAATAATGTTTTTGTTATAAGTAGGCAATGGTATGCGTGAGAAAGCCTTCTTTCAGTTTTCTGGATATAAATGCGAGAGAAGTACCAATGGTCAATGTTGAGGGAAGTATCAATGGTGATTGTTGTTATTTTTTGAGTTAGAGTTGGTCTGGATAAATAGTTTAACTAAGAATTTTTTCAATAAGCTATTCTAGTGTGCCTAATTAAGATTTACTCATAAACGTTTTTCTGTTAAATTTATTGAAATGCAAGCTGAAAACAACTTATGAACATGTCATTTAGTTATTTTTAATTTCTATCCCTACACTAATGTAACCGTTTATATCATAAATGATCTCAAATAACTGTTCCATCTTTAATGTGTGAATGTATCATGAGTTTTAGCTCCAGATTTGTGATGGCACTATTTGAACGAAGTGCAAATTCCTTCCCTGAAGTCATCCGTGTACTGCTATATAATCAATAGTGGCCAGCCACTATACAAAACTCCATTGCAGTGCGGTTTTGTGACAGCCGTAGTGCTCCAATAGTAGCTGTGACAGTGAAACTAGTAAAACTCAATTTTTTGTTTGACTTTTTGGTCATTTCAGCCTAAGATAGTTGTTTTTTGGCCTCAACTTATAGCTGTCACAATTTTTTGGGCTTTTTTGCTTAACCACCTTTAAATTTTGATTGGTGACAAAATAGGACCTGTGTCTTGCCATTTCTTCTTTTTCGAATGGGATTCATCTCCCCCTCACCTTGGAGATGGTGACAACATCATCAGAATCACTTATATTTATTTTAGTTGCTTAGATGCGTTATTTTAAACCTTGGAGGCTTAAACATATTTGCTTTATAATATATTGATTTAAATATCAGTATTAATGAACTTTTATCTTATGATTATTTTTTTATTGTGATTTTTCTACTTTTTTAGCTTTTGTCTTCTTGTGTATATGGTATAAATTTCTTGTATTGTTTCCCTAAACTTTGACCCAGCATTCATACCACTCCCAGCTATACGACTACCCGATATCATCCCATAGTTCACAGGATATATGACATTTGATATGCGCTTTTGTTTTGGAATTTATATTGCAGATGAGCATCGGAAGGAAGTGGAAGGAAATCATTGATGTTAGCGACAAGATGACATATAACTCTCATGTAAACTTCTGCTCATAATAACTTTTAAATGGCTAATGCAAAAATATCTGCTATTCTTACACGTTTAAGTGTTACAGGAAGATGCTAAAACTCGAGGTGCGAAGGCTCGATACACTGTGTAAATGCTACCAGAGCTTTTTTCCGCTTGTGCTGCTGGCAATGCTGTTGTACGACATGTGTATTAGAATGCACTTCTGTTTAATTTGAGGCTTAAAATTTAGTTTTTGTACTCTTTTCTCCTTTTTGCTTGTAATACTATTATACTATTTTTTCTCTTCCAATTCTCATAATTCTCTATCATTTTTCATTGTCGTTCATTCACAGTTTTTCTCTTAGCCTTCTAAAAGGCTGAAATTTTGAATGTTTTTACTCCTGTCCATGAGTTTTTGTTGTGTTGATTGTACAATCATAAATCCTAATAGTGGGTTAAGTCTCGGAAACTGTTTCTGTTTTTTTAATTTAAGTGAACACATTTTATACAGAGATATAATATATTGTTATATCTATGTGTTGAGTGGTCAAATATTGCTAGAGTTATGTTATGTTTGATTTCGCAAGTCTTTATATCTTTATGGCAATGACACTCTATTCTGCTTCTTTTTTTCCCCTCTCACTAGACACTACAGTCCAATGAAGCAAATCTTGGATACTCTAAACTAAAATATACCACCTAGAACCATCATCACAATATCATCCTCATTGTAATAAAATTAATAAGTGTCTTATTTGACACTTTCATACCGATTAAAAATATGTAAAAAATGAAAGAGAGCGAATATATAATTAACATAAATTTAAAGTTAATTATTCTATTATGTATGGTTGGCTACATCAATTAATTTTTAGCATAATTTTTTATTTAATGTCATATTTTAGCATAATGTTTATTTAATATTATATTTTATTCAAATGGTTAATCTTTAAGATCTTTTTAATAAGTCTTCCTTTATCTCTAATTGGTTGATCTTTTTTCATTTCTAATTATTTGATTTTTTTATTTAATCTATTATCTTTAGTTAGGGATGGAAAAAAGCCCGTGCCTGCGGGTATCCGCGGATATAATCCGTCACAGATACAATGTGAATAGTTTAATGGATATTCATGGATAAAATAAATGGATATTTAAATATCCGTTATTTAAGGGATGTGGATGCGGGTTTAATGATACCCGTACTCGCGGATATCCATACCCGTTAATAAATTATAAAAAGTATTTAAATATTTTTAATTTATTATAGACGTCATTACATCTTCCAAGAAATTTAGTCTTTTCATATTTAAACAATTATTATATGGTATGATGAATTTTATTTTGTTAAAAATGAAATGTATGGATATTATGTTTGAATGTTATTATGTTTTAGTGAAAAAAGAATGAAAATAATATGATGAAGTTTAGTTGTTAAATTGAGAGCGAAAAAATATATTTTTAAAAAATAATTTTAGACAAAAAAAGTTATTCATGGATATCTGTAAATATTCGCGAACTGATATCCGCATGGATATGGGGCAGATACGGATATCATATTTATCCAACGGGGCAGACACAGATATCATACTATCCGCCCCTATGGATATCCATTTACATCCCTAATCTTTATTATATATTTTACATGTTGTCTCTTTGGATGCATTAAGTCTATTTTCACCATCAAATTTTATTTTTTAGCACTCTAATATTGTCATTTATAATTTCATTATGTTTATTCTTACTAGATATTAGACTCAACATCCTCATTGTGCTACACTTATTTTATTTTTGTGTTAATTTTTAATAATCTAACATTTTGTTTTATACAACATGACAGATCTTAGTTTGTAGTCCGATAAAAATTTTCTTTCAACTTGAACGATATCTTTATGTCATGTAAATTTTCAGAAATCCTCCTCAATTTTAGCCACTTGACTTGAATTCAGTAGTTTACATCTTTATAGGCGGTAACACTCTAATATTGTCATTTGTAATTTCATTATGTTTATTCTTACCAGATATTCAAGACAACATCCTCATTGTGGTATATTTGTTTTATTTTTGTGTTGATTTTTAATTACTTAACATTTTATCTTATACAACACTATAGATTTTACTGTAGTCTGATAAAATTTTTCCTTCAACTTGATCAGTATCTTTGTGTCATGTGAATTTCTAGAAATCCACCTACATTTCAGCCACTCAACTTGAATTAGTATCTTTGTGTCATGTGAATTTCTAGAAATCCTTCTACATTTCAGCCACTCAACTTGAATTCAGTAGTTTACATTTCTATATATTTTTCCGTCATTTTGTATAGAGACTCAAAATATATAAATTATACAATGTGAAATGATATGGTCTTCGACTTTCTCCATTCTTTAAAAAATGATTTTAAAACCAAAAAAAGTTAACTAAAATTCCAATCTCACTTGTCTAAGGTGAGGGTCAGCATTATATTAATATATTGTGCATGTGAGGGTTTACTGGAATCAAGGAAACAGGTTGTTAATAAGGGATCAACTTCTTTCATTACTGGCTCACAGAATCAGAAAGAGGCTATGAAAAATTTATGAAAAGTATGATTTATAGGACTAAATAACACTGCTGTATTTCTTGATAGAAAACCTCATTAAATTTTATAACATTTCATATATCTAAACTCTAAAGAACAAAATAAGACAGCAATTATATAAGAATGAAAATTCAAAACTAGAGAAGATTTCCTAGTTTACATTCTGCTGTCAATTGAAAAACCATCAAGTTTCAACATGAAAGTTTATAACATTGTAATTACAAAATGTTGAACATCTGTTAAGTTTATCATGCAAGAAAACCAAGCCATTCTCCATTCTTCTTAGCCAACCTGATCAAACCTTGTCTCTGTTTTGCATCTGCTCCTATTGATTTGCAGAATTCTGTTATTACCTAACATTTCAAAACATCAAAGGTAAGTACAACTTCTTTTGTTGTTGCATGTTTCAAACAGTTTCTTCCACACAATTCTCAATCTCTTATCATGTTACACAACTAGTACTTTCCGATTGGTCTCTCATTGATGTTTTCACAACCTCCACACAACCGCGATTGTGCCCTTATCAGCCGCATTTGTCTACAATTCTCAACAGTTACAACGCGGGCGGTGACTATCACCACAACCTCGATTTAAAACCATCTCTAATCCTAGCCCACAAGAGTTGGCCTGAGAGTGTGCTCTTAACAAGGTCTCAGGTTCGTGTTGGAACGGTCCAACACGAACCTGAAACTCCCATTAGTGAATGGTGAGATTAGTTCTCTCTAATCCTTTAATTTTAATCTTCTATATGTCTTAATTTACCTATAAATTTGTTTCTCAAATCCATTTTCCTTTCATCAAAATCCTCCAATCTAATTAACCTAGCTTTGAAATAGATAAACCTCATATAATCCTAATTCAAGAGAATCATATGAAAAGAAACAAATCCCTAAGATATAAACAATTATTAATACTAAGAAAATTGAATAAGATTCACCTGAGAGTGTAAAGCAATGGCTTTGCCTCTAAGCTGATTGAAACGTTTCTTTCCAACAATATTACGAGTAACAATAACAAGTGGAGCAAACACACCTTTCCCTTCATTGACATTCTTCATCATAGGTTGCAACCTCACTGGCTTACAACCTCTTCCAATTCGAACTTGTGATGAAACTGACTTAGCCAACATAGTATAATCCTCACCAACTATAGAACTTCCCCAACTTCCATAGAATGAGGAACCAACACACCCTGTTGCAGAAATTGAAGTAGCCATTCTGGTTACTATGATGTTTTTTTTCCTATGTTTTTGTTTTTGTTTGTGTGAATATAAAACTAGAAGGGTTGTTTGTTTTAGGTTGTTAGAAACATTAGCTTGAATGCATGGCTTATAATATTTGTATGTGAAGGAAGGGATATTTGGCTGTAAAATGGAGAACCAGTGGTTTAGAATTGGACCAGAGTGTGAATCACAACTTAGAAGGATTTGGAGCCACACATATTGATGGCTTTGATTTTTAGTTTTTTAGTTTTTTTAATAATTAAAAGTCTATAACACAAATATGACTTGTATAGTGTAACATTGAGGTTGTGGTCCTAAGATTACTAGGAGGAGGAAATCTTCTAGTGGGTTGGTTGTATTTCTAGGGCCATCTCCTTTAATCCAACAATTAATTCTTGAATTTTTAAGTGAATAAAAAAAAGTTGGTTCTCATACATGCTCTCACAATAAATTGAAGTTGGTTGAGTAAAAAAAAGTGCAAATCTTACAGAAAATATTTCAACTATTGTAGTTTACAACTTAAGGAAGTTAATGTCATATATTCTACTTTTGACTTTTAACAAACGAGGGAGGAACAAAGTATGATACAATATTTAATATTGACTTTCTTGTATAAAGACATTTGGCCTATTCAGAGTCAACAAAGCCATATAATTATAGGTCACGAAAAGTAAAGTAAAGAAGAAAATTTATTTTTTGCGAAAAAGCTATAAGATGTTTTAAAATGTATACTTTCTCTAGTTGAAAAGAATACACGAGGCAAACATAAATATCTCAAAACCCAAAAAATATATCACCTAAGTTAAGTATTTGATCTTGAGTGAAAAATTTTCTTGACAAGTTATATTTCATCTCATCGCTGAAATTCCCAACTAGTACATTCGCGTAAACTAAAAGAGCGATAAAACTAATATTAATGGATTTAACATGTAAAGAATGATCATCTTGAGATTAAGAATAACCAATGAAATGAGTTTGAAAGACACTTAATGTGATACCCCAAAGTTATCCTATGTGTATATAATCTTCATATGTACTTCCACCTATTAACCATCATTAAAAAATCCAAAAATATGTTGTTGCTTTCATTTTCCTTGTTGTCCAAATCCAAGTTGTTGCAAAGATGAATTGAGGTTCATTTGAGGTTTGTCAGGTCAGATGTATGCGTAGTATGAGCCGAAGTTCAATGGTTTTGGCTTAGTCAGTCAGCCAGACAAAGGTTATTTCAAGATCATGGACAGGGTATCCAAGATTTATGTGGTGTATGGTTGAAGTCTCTATTACGGTTTCTGTTCTGTTTCAAGTTACGGTTTCTGTTCCGTTTCAAGTTATTTGTTTGTGGATCAAGTTATTAGGCGGTTGAATATCATTAAGAATCAAGTCATTTTCAATCATGGTTTTGGGATCAAGCGGTTCATATCATGTCATGCTCTATTGATTTCAAGTGATTTAATAGTTTCAAGATTCCAATGCGTCTAAAGATCCAGACTACTTCATGATTCATTTTCTCAAGATTTATTTAAGAATTGTTGGGATTTGGTCCTTAGTACTTTTGAGGATTCAGTTCAAGTGTGGTGCTGGATTAGCATTCATGTTCAAGTTTCAGATATTCAAATCAATATCCATTTCATCATCTTTTCCTAATTCGCATCCAATTTTAAATCACTCGGTTAAGGTCCAATTACTCATTTTAATTTCTAATTTTCAAAGTTCCATGTCCACATTTTACAAATTTTTTATTACCAATCCACAAAAATCCATGAATAGTCCACATCATACAAAAAAAGACCTTTCCACAATTTGTACAAAGCCCATGTTCATACAAATCCATTTTACACAAACATAACACTAAAAAAAAATTATTCTTGTACATCATCCAAAAAAACCCATGTACATCCAAAGTCCTCAAAAATTCAGTCCATTTAAGAAAATTTCTACACCAAAGAAAACATCACCACAATATTCTAACAAGTCCATTCCAAAGGAACCTCATGTTAGTTCAAAAAGGGTCAAAAGATGCTCCAAAAATAAGATTCTAATATCTTAGGTCCATTTACAAAATAACAAAGCCCATGTGGCCATTACAACAATAATAATGAGAAGTAAAATATAACCTTCTTCAACCCAAACCATAACAGAAAATCTTCAACCCACAAATACTCTTCAAACAACAATCATCCCATTCAAAAATTCAAAACCAGTGTTAATTATGTTGGAACAAATAAGTGTTGATACCTAACTAGGGAAGCACAAAGAAAGGGATGATTTTCCGATAGTTTTTTTTCTTTAAAGAAAAATAAGACTTAGATTTTTTTATCGTATTAATTAGTAAGCAGTGCAATAAACTTCTTTCAATTTTCAATTTCTTAATTAAAATCTCTCAAAGAAAGATGTATGATCAATATTTATTTAATTATTATTTAATCTATTTGTATTTTGTTAGATTACAATAAATGACTTTTGATTGTTGTTGCTTCTCTTTTATAAACTTTAATCTGAAAAGATTACATCTTAATTACTCTCTTATATCACTTACATCTTAGTTACATTTTTCTAAAAAAGTTTACTAAATATTGCAAAATATAAAATTTATTATTACGTTGTGTAAAAAAATTTACTGACATGTTTAAAATTAATCCTATATGTTATAAGAGAGTAATTAAGATGTAATCATTTTAAATTAAAGTTTATAAAAGAGAAGCAACCATAAATATATATGTATATCATCAGATAAACATTTTTAAAAACTTATTTAAAAAATGATTTAAAACTCTAAGACAATTTGAAAGCAATTGAAAACTTATTTAAAAAATGATTAGTTGACTCAATCCATTTGATTTAAATTAATATTTATAACAACAACTCCTTGAACAAACAATGTTATTTATTATATAAATAGAATAATTCAACAATAAATTCATAGATAATCTCATTGAAAATAAAATATGCAAGCCAAAAAGATTTAAGGCGAAGTACACACCTAAAAAAACCAAAATATAAATTTTCCTATAACCTTAACCTAATTCTTTGATAAGATTTTCAAGAATTACTATCCCAATTTTCACCAAAAGATAATCAATCAAAATAAAAATCACTATAACTAGTCATCATCAAAATAAAAATCACTATAATCATAACTATAATCAAAACGGTAGTCATCAGAATCAATATCACAAACATAACACGGTGGAATAAAATTTTTGATCTGCTCAAACTTTCCGAACCAGTACATTTCCCTCAAACTTTGACTCAAACTTCCTTCTAAACGCATACAAAAACAATGTTGCAGGTCAAGAGATTCAAGAAGAGGACATCCATCAAGAATAGCATCAACCGCAACCGATGTAAGCCCCAGTCCTGAAATCGTAAGACTGCGTAATCCAGGCATCGTTTTCCCGATAGCAACCGCCTCCTCACTCTGATCAATGAACATATCCTCATTCTGCTGATACAAATCGCTACCGTATGTCAGTGTTTTCAAAAGAGGACAATAACTACCAACAACTTCCAAGAAATGTTTAGATAGATTGTTGTTTCTTGTAACGATGAGTTCTTCGATGAGTGGAAGTTTCTTCACGGCTTCAATAATTCCTTTATCCGAAACTTTATCACAAGATTCAATCCCGACGCGCCGTAGATTACTTGCCCTGTAAAATTCAAATAAAAATCTTAACCATCAAAATAAAAATATGTTCATATATATTGAAAGTTACGAGAATGAATCATCAGTCATCACCTATCAGCTACGTATTCGAGGAGCTCATCGTTTCCTAACATATATATGTAAACATCTTCTAACTGACCACAGCTTCGATCAACAGCATATTGGAACATCTTTCACCCAATACTTCCTGTCGTAGCGACTACGGTAGAATTTTGCATATGAATGGTGCGCCAGATGTAAGGTTCCTTGCAGAAATTCCACCATAAAGGGCACACTAGAGATGCACCTGTGATTATGTCAAGCGTATCAAGCCTTAGTAGGATGTTTAATGTAAGGTCTCTAGGAAGTTCAAGCCAATTTGGCATTGTTGTTGTGTTTTTCAGTTTCACTTCTGGAACCCTAGAAGACGCCATATTATTCATCTAGGGTAATTATAACCTTTTATAGTATGGACTAGGTTTTGATTGCTTGTTTATTTTACAAAATATATTAATCTAATGACAAAATAATAAACCTATATTAAAGCAAATACATTTGAACAAATATTTTAGTAGAAAAAACATATTTATATACGAAATTAAGTGGTGATTGATAGACCATTAAATCACCGATCTTTAATTATTCAATTAAAGTTTTTTATTTTAAAAAGAAATCAAAGTTGAAATTATTATTTTTATTTTACTGGTTTTTATATTTTTTTATGATTAAAAATTACTGTATTCCTCATTTTGGAATTCTCATTCAATAGAAATAATATAGTTTATTTTTCCTATAAAGTTTGACCTAGGATTTTTTTTTTGTGCATGTGATTTTTCTTTTAATAATTTATATTTTTTTAGTGTTTTTGATCCATCGTTAATTTATTATGTAATTAATTTGATAAATTTTGGGAAGACTAATATATCATCACAATCTCTAATTAAATGATTCACTTATCAATTTTTTTGTATAAAGATAGTAATTCTCTTTTAAATTATTTTTCCTTTTTAAAGGATCCATTAGTACCATAAATGTGTGATACTATTTCACTATAAGATAAATTATCATAATTTTACGATTTATAAAATAAGTAGAATCGAACTCCTCTCAGCTTAATTTGACTCGTTAAGAATTGATCTAGTTTAAATTTTTGTTTGAATCTAACACAAATTTTTTTGAAGCTCAAACTCGACTTGTTATAAATTTATAAATAATTCGATTCGATTCATCTCATTAGATTTAGGTCGTTTATTTCACAAATTTAAAAGTCATTTTTTAAAGTCTATTTTTTATATATATTTAATATTTTCAATTAATATTTAAAAAAATATTGAAATAAAAAAATTATTAA